GCTGTGTATATTATTTGGAACAGCGGGTTTACGATTCAGAATTTCCATTAGCTAATAATTTGTTGTATATTGATTTCATTAGAACCAACCTACGACTCATAATAATATGTACAATGTGATTATAATTTATTATTGAAGATAATGATATCTATTTGTCACTATTTCCAGAGAAAGTAATCCTGTTCAAGGAACCTCTGGAGGAGATGAAGATTGACACAAAACAAACCACAAAGCTGACTTTGCAGGATGTTCTTGAAATTGGTCCAGAAAGTTTAATGACAGACAACTTTACTGATGATGATGGATTATGGTATTTTATAAGAAGGCTTATGTCTCTGAATGGGGAAGCAAGAAACATAAATAAGCTTTTTATGAAATCAGTGGAAAGTAAGAATATTAGTACTGATGACAGCTTCATGTTTGTTGATTCCGAAAATGACTTATTCAGTTACATCCACCCTCTTGATGTAGTTTCTGTTGCCTTTCATTGCTCAGACCATTTCCTGCAGCAAGAAATTGTATCTAAAATGTTGATGTGTCAGTTCGCTGTCCCTCTGCTACTTCCTGATGTTGATAGCCCAGAATGCACCTTCATGCTGTGGGCAATGAGGGGCATAGTAAAGAAATGGCGACCTCAGTCATTAGCAGACAGCAAAGGATTTATAGAGGACAGCTTGGTTAATGTCACCATGCCAACTATCTCACTTGTAAGACTAGGGAAATGTAGACTATCAAAGTCAAAAATTCTAAATCAGCTTCTGGGCTCAATGCAGCACCAACATGAACATTTTGTCCACAGGGACATGGAAGGAGGAAATGCTACAAGAAAAATATCAGAAGGGTTGGTGGAAATTTCCTGGTATTTTCCTGGTGGTAAAGGTAAATTCCCAGAGCCCGTGGCATTTACAAATCTCAGAGGAAAGCTGGAGTCTAACCTAAAGCAGTTCAACTTTCTGACAGAAATCTCATCAGTCATCGTGATTCTTACAGAAGGTATCAGTGAAGACCAGTATGAACTGTTGAAGTGTAACAGCGACAACACAAAATATCTTTTCATTATTAGTCCAAAGGACAACAGAACAATGAAGGACACAACAGAAAGACTAAAACTCCTGGCACCTGTGCTGAATTTAACCCCAGACAATGTTATATTGATTCCAAGCAGTACAAACGAGACAACAGCTGGTTCGAAGCTGTATTCATCACTTCTGTCATTAGTCCAAAGTGACCTCAATACTATCAGTCTAGAAACAATGGCCGAACAAGCCTCCAGACATGGGATCCAGATAGATGAGGACTTTGAAGAATGCCAGGCAGCAAAATTGAAAGCAAAAGAGATAACTGATGATATAGAAGATGTTGTGAGATACAAGAAAGAAACAATGAAACTACAAGCAGAACCACTAAGAAGAATGGCCAAACTAGAAAAGGAGATGTGCCAAATGAAAGGGCAAGGGAACAGTAATGGGGAGAAATACAAATCTAATCTCAGAAAACAGTGTCACCGAATAAGACAAGAACAATGGAAATATGACATTCCAAGCGGCATATCCAAGTTTGTTGAGGCAATCACATCAACAACAAAGAGATCTGAAAAGTTGTTTTTCTTACAGTGGTTAAAATTTCATCTCGATAGCGTGGCAAGAAAATCCCTTCCCCCTTTACAAGCTCAATATAAAGAACAATGTAATTTGCCTGGCAACCAAAAAGTGCTTGCTGAGTTAGATCAGAGGATTTCTGACAGTTCCCTGGGCATTGAGCACTTTCTGAGAGAAGTGGGTCAGTTCTATGAAGCGTGGCATTTCATGGAGGAAAATGGAAAATCAACAGACATGAACTTAGAACATCTTCCTAAAATAGCTGCAGATCTTCTGTTGGATGGATTTCCTCTGGAACTGATAGATGGAGATGCCTCCAGAATTCCCTTACAGTGGATAAAAGATGTACTGACTGAGCTGGACAAGAAAATAAAAGGAAAAGACAGACTGAGAGTAATAACAGTTCTTGGAGTGCAGAGCACAGGGAAATCCACCCTTCTGAACACCATGTTTGGTTTGCAGTTCCCGGTGGCCAGTGGACGATGTACACGAGGAGCCTTCATGACCCTTCTGAAAGTGAAGGAAGATTTGCAGGAGGATTTGATGTGTCAGTTCATTTTGGTGATTGACACTGAAGGATTGAAAGCTCCCGAGTTGGATTCTCTTGATGGCAGCTATGAACATGATAATGAATTGGCCACACTAGTGATTGGATTAAGTGACATCACCCTAATTAACATGTCAATGGAAAACACAACAGAAATGAAAGATATTTTACAAATTGTCATCCATGCTTTTCTGCGGATGAAAGAAATTGGGAAAAAACCCAACTGCCAATTTATACATCAAAATGTGAGTGACGTCTCAGCTCCTCTCATGAACATGAGGGGTAGGAAGAAGCTGATGGACCAGTTAGATGAAATGACAAGAATTGTGGCCGCTATGGAGAATAAAACTCAATTTAAACATTTTTCTGATGTCATGGAGTATGACCTAGAACACGACAATTGTTACATTGCTGGTCTGTGGCATGGAGTCCCACCGATGGCTTCAGTCAGCAATGCATACAGTGAAAACGTCAATGAACTCAAACAAAAACTACTGAAGTTCATGGAAGACAGACATAATAAGACACAAAACATCAATGAATTCATGTCTTGGGTATCTAATTTATGGAGTGCGGTGAAACATGAAAACTTTATATTTAGTTTCAGAAACAGCTTGGTAGCCAAAGCCTACAACCAGCTATCTAAACAATATTCTGAACACGAGTGGAAATTCAGTAAACTGATGCATGAATGGTTCACTAAATCCGAGACGCTGATCAAGAATCAGTCTGCTGAAACACTGGAAGCCAAAGCCAATGATTGCTATAAGGAAGCAGAAATTATTCTCACAAGAGAGGAGAAAAAGATTTTAGCTTGGCTACACGAGTATTTTATTAAAGAGACAGATTGTGCCCAAATAATAAAATACAAAACAGACTTTGAGATCAGTGCTCAAAACTTAAGAAAAAACCTTGAATCATCTTCAATCAACAAACTTAAGGAAGCTGTTCAGATCCAAAAAGAACAAATCAGGATACAACAGTTATACAGTCAGCACGTTGAAAGAATTGAACAAAAGGTCTCCAGCTTTATAGAAGATTGTAGAAAGAAGAAGCACAAGCTCAGTAATGATGAATTGGAGGCGGAACTTGAAAGAATCTGGAAAGATGCCGTCAAAGATCTAGAGGTGACTCACCTGCCAAAACGTGACATTGAGGGATCAATGTTACTAGTGCTCACCAAGGACATGAATGAGAAAGGTTCTGGTGTGAATGAAAAATTACAGCAGACAAAACATTTTCCCAAACCCAAGGAGCAGCAGAATACATCAATATTTACACAATTTTATCAAATAATTCGAAGACTGAAAAGGAATTTTCAGTATGATGATTTTTTCAAGCTTGTGTTGCGTAAATGCATTAGGTATTCAACAGAACAAAGAGAAAAAGATGTTGACTACGATGACACATACTGTAGGGGTGTATTGAATATAATTGATGAAACCTGTAAACATGGTGATGCAAAGAATTATTTTTCAGCTGATCGGGAATTAGAATTGAAGTTGGAGATTTTGGGACACGTTCTTGGTGATTTTAAGAAAATGCATTTACAATTTTTAAAAAATAATGATCCTCGTGCCAAACTCGAATCACTGAAGCCGCTTTACTTTGATACATTCAAAAATGTTTTCCAGAAGAAAAATAAAAGCAAAAGCCTCGCTGAACGGATCTGCAAAAATTGTTTTAAACCATCGATAACTGATCATATTAACAGAAAACTGGGAATAGAAATGGTAGATGACATCGCAAATAGCAAAGGTTCTGAGAAATATTCCTCTCGAATGTTTTTCCAGTTCACTGTCTTAGAGAGTCTCCTGGAGGAAAACAACTTTGAAAACTATGTTGAATACTCAAGTGACTACAAAACCTTTGTAAAATCCTGGATAACTAACTACATTGTGAAGGAATATAAAAATATTGGTACTTTACAAGCCAAACTTCTGTCTGATATCATGAAACGAGTCAGATTGAATCTCCAAAATCCCCCAGCTTTAAACCTCCAGCATGTTTCAGATTTTTTGGCCCATCTGTGTGAGGAGTTGAACAGTGATCTGGTATTGTCGCAGCAGACAATGAAGGCAATTATTTTTGAAAATTCAGGAACTATTGAGGATTTTATTGAATATATGAGGAACAGTCTGACTGACATAGAAGAACAGATCAGAGAAGAAATGAAATCTTTAAGTACAGAAGATGTTCTTGCCAGACTTAAAGTGAAGCCTCAGGATGAACTGTTTAAGAAGGTGTTTGGATGCGGGAAGCAATGTCCGTTCTGCAAAGTCCCCTGTGAAGCTGGAGGGACGGACCATAAAGAGCACTTTGCATCCGTACATCGCCCACAAGGACTAGGAAGATACAGATGGGCAACAACAGAAGTTCTTTGTCATGATATTTGTTCTACATTAGTGGTTGGTAATGCACATTTTAAGAATGGACTGACAGGAGAGAAATATCATCCTTACAAAGAGTATAGAGATCACTACCCAGACTGGAAAATCCAACCTGATGAGAGTATTGAAGCTTCTGACTACTGGAAATTTGTTCTGAAAGAGTACAATGAGGAGTTTGCAGAAGAGTATAAAGCTAAACCAGCCAAATATCCTGAAGAATGGAACACTCTGAGTGAGGAGATGGCAAAGAAAAGTCTCCAGAAAACCTTCAATATGTGAAAAGACAAACTGAAATGTATGTCTTTCATATGATGTTCATGTATATGGAGAAGTTATTCACATGGCTAAAAATCTCTCATTATCATCATCATCATCATCATCATCCTCACCATCTCTCATTATTGTTTCTTCTACATTTTGCTGTTTTAGAATTAAAAAAAACAGTTATACAAAATAATTACAAAGGGATGATAAGTTGTCCAACCATGGTTTTGCAATACCAGCCTCCACTGTTGTGAAGGCTTTTCACATGATTTTGGAGGGTGCCTGTGGAAATGTGTCCCATTTGGGAGGTCAGGTACTGATGTTGGATGAGTAGACCTGGTTTACAATTAGTGTTCTAATTCATCCAAAAAATCTGTTCAGTGGGGTTGAGGTCAGGGCTCTGTGCAGGACACTCAAGTTCCTCCACCAAGCTGGTCACCCCATGTCTGTATGGAGCTGGCTTTGTACACAGGGGACAGTCATGGTGGAACAGAAAAGGGTCTTCACCAAACCATGACCACAAGGCTGGAAGAGCTCCATTGTCTACAATGTCTTTGTATGATGTATGATTACCAGAACCTTACACTGGAGACACCTGAGCTCCATCATTGGGGAGGGGGGGGTCAACTTACTTTTGGCCAAACAGTGTGACTTCTGCTGGAGGAATTTCTTTCCTAATTTTACGTTGTTTATTACATTTTTCTGACACAATTTTTAAGTGCAGATAATTTGCAATTTTCAACCATATAATTAACAGATCTACTGAAAAGTTAAATTTTTAAAACCTATTTTATGATTAGCATGATATTCTGTAAAACACTGGTACCGTAGTATATTGTCCAGTAAGTGTGACACTGCCGAAAACTAACACAACCTTTTATATAGTTACACAACTCTGAACAACTGTTGAACCTGACATTAGCATGAATGGGCTATATAGTTGCTATTACTAAAGAACACATGATCACACTAATACAAGTTCTGTCATTTATTCCTTTGATTGCATTAATTGTTAAATCAAATAATTAGATTAGATTACAATTGGATGTGTGTGCACTAGCGGGTAATTAATCCACATGGTAGTTCCTATTTCTGTACTCAGATTCTATATCATTTATTTTCCCTTTACAATAAACATGAATCAATATTTACAGCTGTATGTTATCACAAACTAATATGATCAGAAAATGTATCCATTCACTGTACATATAATAAAAACACTTGGCAATATATGCTTATCTACTTTTTTTTTACCATCTTCATAGCCTGAAACAGTGCACCCAGCATTCGAATAATTTTCATGCTAAGTGAAGAGTGCAATGTAATGTGTCGTTGTAACCCTTCCAGGAGTTGTCGGTGTGGACGCACATTTGTCTTATTTAGTTATTAAACTCGATGAAACTAAAGAACATTCAATTAATGACGCATAGCCCATCACAAGTCCTCTGCACAGGTTACATTATAGATATGATGGAATGTTTTTGTTGATAGGACAGTACAGAAGATAAAATCCCACCTCAATAAGCAAAGGACACACCCCCTGCCACACCTCAATTACAGGGATCAATACCACGGGATCTATACTAATTTAAAAAAAATAACAAATGTGATAATTTAGAGGTTGGAGAAAAAGTTTTCTGCAGTAAAACACTTTGAGGAGATAAATGTTTTTTATATGAGGGTCTATACATCAGACCAAAAGGGGGATTACTGAGGGTGAATGGGTGATGCGGGACTTGTTCCACAGCAGGGAACCTCTGTAGCTGATCACATACTGTTCGTGTTTATCAAACTCATGTTGTCAGTGAAAACACACTAATGGAAATTTCAGGGCACACAATCACAATATATGAACTATTTTTGGTAAAATATAAAAAGATCAGGTTCTGACAATTACATGGATACCAAACATGTCAGGTTGTATAATTACATGTGCCAGTGAAACAGCAACAAACGTCTGTACCCAAAATTCCCATAGGTGACATTCCAGGTCCACAGGAGGGACAGCTTAGCCCAGGATGGGCGGATCTCGACATCGATGTCGGGATCCGCTCCGGCTGCGGCGTCTCAGTATATGTAGCTTGCGGTATACTGAGCTTAGGGTAACGGGAGGCCGCTAGTTTGTGTCCTCCCGTTCCCCTAAGGAGAACTATGGGGAAAAACACTGCCCCCATAGTTCTCCTTAGGGTAACGGGAGGCCGCTAGTTTGTGTCCTCCCGTTCCCCTAAGGAGAACTATGGGGAAAAACACTGACCCCATAGTTCTCCTTTAACATACAATGTACCCCCCAAGCCCTGAGATCTTTAACTCTTTGTTAGGATAGACAGTGTGTGCATCTAGTCAGCAACTCAGATCTGCCACCACAGTACAGACAGGGTTAATTATGGTTAACATAATTCCCCAGCCCCCACCTTAGCATTCCATAGAAGGGGGTAGCTAAGGGGCATTTTACAGCAAGGAAAAAGGTCAATGTTTATACATTGTTTACAAGTTCTGTTATGAAGATGGGGACATGTATAAAGTGGATGTTATCCCAATTTGGCTATAAAGGTGGAAATATACTTTCAGTCAATCAATCAATAAATAAATACAAACCAATCAATAACCTTCATGTAAATTAGTGTAGATGTGTGGATGATGGCCGAGTTGTTACCATGTGTGTATTCTATTTCAAACAATTCATCCCCACACAGCTCCCTCCTCATGTATCACTGGCCCCTCACTTTTAGATTGTAAGCCCTCAGGGTCAGGGCCCTCCTTGCCATCTTGTCTTGAATTGTATTGTAACTGTAATGTCTTCCTTATATTGTGCAGCGCAAACTGTTGGCGCTCTATAAATCCTGTATAATAATAATGATAATAATAATTTCTGCAGAATCACTAAGCCGGTCGGTGTCTTCTCTAGGGAGAGTCCAGAGAGCTATCGATGGCTAATAGATTTCCTCCATACCTTCCTGTCAGAGGGGGATGTGAAGTCCGTACAGATCAGCAATTCTTCCCGGATCCGCCCACAGAAGTACACCTTCGCCATTTTATACCACTCGAAGACAAGAGGACGCGTCAATGTGACCGACGTCACCGACCCCCTATACAGTAAAACACTCCAAAAGCCAGATGATTGAATTACCCCTCCCAAATATGCAAGACATTGTGAGAGGGGGGCTTTTAAGATATTGAGTTCTCACTAAAGAATTGGTAAAAAATGTTAAAAACCTATTTTATTATGAATTTCACATATAAATCAGTTTTGTTGGTACAAACAGTTCCCTAGTTATCATGTACCTGACTGGAGACTCAGCTGAGAAGGGGGGCGGCCCGTGCACCTCTCGTCCCACGCCTCTGGAAGCAGTGACGGGATGTAAGGACAGAGCGGAGCACAGGTGCCGATACTGGTGGCTGGCCGGTTCTTGAGGAGGTGCATGAGTGTGTTGGAACCAGCTGGTGAATCGGCAGGACCGAGATGACACTGGGACCTCTTGAAACCAGAGCAGGCAACAAGTATGAGGCCAATGGAGCATTGGCAGGATGTCGTAGTTCAGGATGCTGATGGAGCGATCCACCAAGTGGCGGACCAGGAGGGAAATCAGATTGAAGCAGAGGTCATACACAGGGAGCCGAATCTTGAGGTGCCGAATCACAGATCAGGAGCAGGGTCAGGAGACGTAAGCCAGGGTCATACACAGGAGATCAGGGAGCAGAGGTACCGAATCAGGAGGAGGAGGCAGAGTCAAATGGTCACAAGCTGAAGACCACTCAGCACCTTGGTCATGGCTTCATGTCTGTCTATATATGATAGTGTGCACGTGTACGCTAACGAGCGCGCTTCCGCACGCTCACGTACGTGTGCTATTGCGCATAAACCTTCCCGTATGCGCGCGTTCACGTGCTTAAGTGCGTTTTCCAAGAACGTTAAGCAATGGACTTCATACTTGTGTGCATGCACGTTTTTGAGCGGGAGTCCATCTGCAGGTAAGTCTCTTACACTAGTACATAGAACTAATACAAAGTCCATACACCACACAGTACACGTTAGATACTCAATGGTCTAGTTATTATGTTGTAAATACATTGAGAGATGATAGTTCTCCAGGCGTCCCCAACATGTTTCGCCATCTTCCGGCTTCCTCAGGAGGACCTCAAGCCCAGAACACTGCAACGTATATGGACCGAACATTTGAGCTGGACAGAGTAATATATGTGATCCAGATAAGGAAAGCAAAATGGGGGAAGGGGGTTTCTAAGGTAATATTAGCCAAAAATGTATCTTATATTGAAAACGGGACAGTATAACCAGACAGGTCATGGTAGGAAGGGACTAAAGGATTAAAAAAAAACCTCCAACCAAATCAGCTTGTAGCACAGTAAAGCCTTCTTAGAACAACGAAAAAAGCAATACCGGCGCCTCCGGTTGCAAGACGGGCCAGCTGTAAGGTTGGTTAAAACACCCAAGAGGCAGCTCCAACCGGTCAAAAAGACCCTCGATCTGGGAAACAAGAAACAAAACAGAGCGCCTCCATAGTGTAAAAGGTTAATTTATTTGTACAACACGCAACTGAAATTGTACTTACAGGAAAGTCGGCGGTTAAAAGCATACAAAAGGCGATGAAATATAAAATCTCTAGCAGTGGAAGTCTGAACTCTGAAGGAATACAGCACATCATGATACGCTGATGTGCTGTATTCCTTCAGACTTCCGCTGCTAGAGATTTTATATTTTATTGCCTTTTGTATGCTAACCACCGACTTTCCTGTAAGTAAAATTTCAGTTGCGTGTTGTACAAATAAATTAACCTTTTACACTATGGAGGCGCTCTGTTTTGTTTCTTGTTTCCCTTCTTAGAACAGAACATATTCACACGTCTCTTTCCATCACATATTCCAAAAATAAGAGGATTATTCCTCATTTCAGGACCGTGGGTGGAGCCATGCAAATTATTCCTTTATTCCCAAATAGCCAAATACACATCAGGAACCTCTGGTGTATAGTGCAAATACAAGATGGGTCCTGGAAGGACGCTA